TCTCAGCTCAGCAGTGCAGGGAACAGGGACAACCAGGGAGGTGGGCGGAGCCGGCCAGGCTTGGGGGGCAGCGGGAGGCGGGTGGGAGGTCGGAGCGGCAGCCCCAAGGACTTGTGAAGCCTGCGGCGCCACTCATGTGTAGTCTGCTACATAACTCCTCTTAGAGAAGCCAAAGTGTAAGTAATTTTCTTTAAAAAAAAAAAAAAAAACAGGAAAGGGAGACAGATCTTTTGCATATGGGAAGGGTTTCCAGAGAAAGAGGTGGGGAGAAGGGAGGGAAAAGGGAATAAAAGCAATTAAAACATATTAACTACATACAGCTATGAGGAATGTAAACATCATGTATTGCAAGCATATATTAATAAAATTGTTTTAAAAGTGCTAATTTTTTAAAAAGTGGTTGGTTTTTTTTTTTTTTTGGCAGAAAAGGGGATTGAACTCAGGTCCTTACATTTGCCAGGGAAGTGCTTATTCCACTGAGCCATCTCCCCAGCCCTAAAAAGTGCTTTTTAAAAACAGACCATTAGCTATACAGGAATTCCACCCCTAGGAACTCAGCCAAAATAGAAGAACCGAGCAGTCAGACACTTGAGTCTCACGGTCCAGGCAGGCAGCAGCCATAATGTGTACTGTGAGTTCATAATGGACTCACCTGGAGACACAAGTCAAAACCAAAACTCAGCAGACACTTGAAGAAAGCGTCAAATATTAAACACCGAAACTCAAGTGATAAAAAAGAGCAAGAGTTAGAGCAGATCATGAAAGAAAAAATTCAAAAATTTATCTGTCACTTATCAAAAAGATAAGAGTAGATACTGTGGTCATGAGTCAAGGACTGAAGAAAGGTTCAGGAACAGAAAGAGCTCACTGAAAGTAAAACATGAGGGCTTGGAAGGCAGCAGTTAGGACATGTCCTAGCAGAAAGAAAGAAATCCAGAAGCTCAGCACAAGGGTTACAAAAAGAGAAAAATGGAGGAAACAGGTGAAGAAATCCACAAAATCACCCAAGATGACCTTCTGGAACTGGTACACAGGAATGAGCAGTCTGAAAAAGAACCATCTTATGTCCAGAAAAACAGATTAAAGCAGAACTGTACCAAAAGACACTTCTGTGATTTTTGAGAAAAGTACCTAAAAAGAGAAGATCCTGAGAAAAGGCTGCTACAAAAGGCAGTGAGGAGGCGGGCCCCTGCTTGCACCTGCCGGCTCCCAACCTGGAAACCTACAGCTCACCCAGGCAGGTCCTTGGAAGCAACAATCCGGAGAAGAGCTCCCTGCTGAGGCTGCCTTTCCTCAGCACACGACCGGGCAGGGGCGCCACCTCATGGCGGAACCAAGCAAGGCAGCCCCGGGGGGTTGCACAGGCCACCAGATGCCGGGAGAAAGTTCTTTAGGAAGATGAAACAGCTGTATCTTGAAACACACTGAAAGACAAACGTTCAACTAGGGAAATTTGGTGATAAATATTAGAAAAATAACTATCAATATTCAGGAAAAAATATACAAAAAAGAAAAAAGTTACTTGGGCTCAGTCACAAATAATGTCATGTAGTCAAAATAACTAGTCAAAATAACTAAAGGCTCACTGCATACAGAGGAAATGAAGACTATGACATAAGAACACGGGGGAGAGGGGATGGCTGCGTGTGGGGTGAGGAGGAGGCAGGAGGACCAGCCCTCCAATGTCTGTCATGAAGAACCGGAAGGTAATGACTGACCCCCACAGAAAGGCAGCCACTGAAAACTGCTACTGCTTGGAGGTACAGAGGTCAACGCCAAAGCTCAGCTAGGAGTCCTAAGAGGCTGCCTCCGGCATTTGGGAAGCTGATACGGAGAACTGGGGAGGCTGAGTCTCCTTTTCTTCTCTTCTCCTTCCTCTCCTTTTCTTTCTTACTTTGAGACACAGTACCACTAAACTGACCAGCCTTCAACCTCCTGTCCTAGGCCTTCAAGGAGCTGGAATTCTAGGCACTGATCACCACATCCAGCTAAACAAGAACTTTTTTTTTTAATTTTATTTTATTGAGAAATATCAATGAGAAAGTTTCAAAATTGATTAATAGGAGAGTATCAATAATTAAAACATTGTACATTGTTATCTTCTTAGCAGTTATCCATAGTACAAGATGCACACAGAATATCCTGTCCAAATACTATTAGTACAAATCTTCTCATTGAATTAAGCGAAAGTAGCTATATATCTATCCTAACTATTCTGCATATAAAGATACAAATGGTCCTTCCTTTGTATCCCCTTTTTTTGTTTAGTCCTGTCAGAAATAGGTATTCCATTGGCATCTAAATACAATAGGTGCGTGAATTCAGCAGAACAATCCAACCCAGTCCAGCCACAATAGTAGTGGGTTAACCACAGAAGTTGTTGACTTGAGACGACCGGGGCCACGGGATCCTGAACAGACCCAGAGCGCAGGCCTGGCAAGTGAGTGAGACAACC